CAGCGGGAGGGCGCCTCCGCGGCTGCCTTGGCCTTGCCGTCGTTGCCTCCTTCAGCGTCGGCGTCGCTGGCGGCAGCTGCAGCCCTAGCCGCGGCGCGTGCTTTGCTGCGGCCCCGCCTGCCTTTTCCCGCCTGGACGAAGCCGTCGGCGTCGGGCTTAGGCTGGCTGGTCTCCCGCCCGGCCGCCCACGGGGGGGGGGGGGCTGGCAGCCGAAGCGCCGCGCGCGGGCGCAGAAGCTCCACTGGCCGCAGTGGCACACCCAGTATGAGTCGTCGCCCTCCTCACCGCGAGCCCCAGACCAGCAGCGCCACGAGCGGGAGGCGCCATCCCGCCGCGGCCGCGCGATCCCCAGCTCGCGATCTCTTCCGAACGTCATCTTGGCCCACAGCGCAGAGCCCCTCGCGCTCGAAACGCCGCGGACGACTCGCGGTCGTCGGGCGCTCCATGGCCTTGAGCCAACATGGCTACGGACGGTGGAGGTGTCAGATAAGGATGGTTTCGATAAGGAAGGGTCTCGCGACCGATGGGCGGCCAAACATGGGCCACCAACCTCGCCTTACAACAAGAAGCGCCAGGGTCTGGGCCCCAGGGAGACGGTTCTTATCCAATGCCGCTGCCGTGCAAGATATGATGGTGTAGAGGATAAGGACGCAGAGGTGGAGAGGAGGAGGAGGACGACGAAGAGATGGAGAAAGGTAAGGGAGAGAGAATGATGAGGATAGTGCTAATCGATGGGGAAGGAGAGGATGAGGACGCAGAGGGGGGGATACGGAGGAGGATAGACAATCGGGTGATCAGGGTGAGGAAGGGGGGGCAGCGAACGCAGGCGGGGATGAGGAAGAGGATGATGACTCCCCCTCCTCCGTCTTCTGCTCCTCCTCCGTTCTCCTCCTGCTCCTCGCACTCCTCTCCCTCATCCCCAGCAGCCTTCCTGCCCTGGGTGCATGAGAGGACAGCACGAGGAGGAGGGGAGGATAGAGGAGGAGGAGGAGGAGGAGGAGGAGGAGAAGGAACAGGAAGAAAAGGAGGAGGAGGAGAAGGAGGGTAGGAGGACAAAGGAGGAGGAGGAGGAGACAAAGAGGAGGAGGAGGAGGAGAGAGAGAGGAGGAGGGGGAGGACGAGGAGGAGGAGGAGGAGGAGGAGGACGACGAGGAGTTGGAGAGTGACCAGAGGGCACACGACTGTGACCATGATCGCGGAGAGTCCACAACCCGCATCGCAGGTTGCGGGACAACCCGCATCGCAGGTTGCTGACCGGGGGCGGGCTCCGCATGCAGCCAGGCTTGGAAAGGCGTCCGTTTGTGGTTCCCAGAACTGGGCACACGAGGAGCGCGAAAGGAACAGCCCTGGAAGGACCGAAGGGAAAGCGAGCCCCTTCCGAACCAGAACTATTCCTTGCTTTATCGTCTTGGTTGCGCGGCATCGCGGCATCTCAGTCCACGTCTCGCTCGAGAGTCCTCCTCCTCCTCCTCCTCCTCCTCCTCCTCCTCCTGCTCCTGCTTCTGCTCCTCCTCCTCCAGCTGCTGCTGCTGCTCCTCCTCCTCCTCCTATTCCTCCTCCTCCTCCTCCTCCTCCTCCTCCTCCTCCTCCTCCTCCTCCTCCTCCTCCTACCTCCTCCTCTTCCGCTCTCCTCCTCACTCCTCCTCTCTCCTCCTGACTCCTTCTGCTCCTCTTCCTCCTCCTCCTCCTCCTCGTGCTCCTCCTCCTCCTCCTGCTCTTCCTCCTCCTCCTCCTCCTCCCTCCTCCTCCTCCTCCTCCTCCTCCTCCTCCTCCTCCTCCTCCTCCTCCTCCTCGTCCTCGTCCTCGTCCACCACCTCCTCCTCCTCCTCCTCCTCCTGCTCCTCCTCTTGCTCCCTCCCTCCCTCCCTCATCCCCTCCCTCCATCCTCCCTCCTCCTGCTCTTGCTGGCCTAAGGAGGAGGAGGAGGAGGAGGAGGAGGAGGAGATGATCGAGGAGGAAGCGGAGGAGGAAGTCGAAGCCCTCGTCCTGCTCATTGCTGGAATGAAGGAACTGATGAGCAGGCCAGCGGCAGCCCCTCCCGCAACGGGACAGAGCGCCATGCGGTGACCAGGAGCCCGGCGCAGGCGAAGACGAGCGAGCGTGGGAACGGCGACGACGACGACGACGACGACGACGACGACGACGGCAACGACGACGGGGCGACTGCGACTGCGACGACGACGACGACGGGCGCCAATCTCCAACTCTGTCGCTGAGCTCCAATGCCGACAGCAGTGCGGCGTGTGTCTTGAGCTCAAGGTGTGCTGGTCCTCTTTTCGTGCTCGGTCACCGCACGACTCGGGGCAGCCGCCTGGTCCGGGGCGAGCTGCTGTACCCGCGCCGGCTTCTCGAACATGGCGCTTATGAGCGCCAACGCACAGATTCCACGAGCTCGCTAAGCTAACTGCTCACCGCGGGGGCCTCGCCCGACAGAACGCTGGCGCCATCCTCGCCGACAGCCGCTGAGGCCAGAACCGACTTGACAACGTCGGGGACCAGTTCTTCGATGCCTATAAACATCGTGCTGCCATGAGGAGCACCAAATAAGGGACGAAGAGCTTTTCACGACCTGGCGGGCATTGGCCACGGATAGGATCGCCGACCTCAGCCCAAGGAAAACTCTGGCAGCCAGAGCCCTTCCTGAACCCAAGGTGGTCCTTATTCCTGCGTCTCGACTGCATTGTGACAAGCGCCGTCACATTGACAGTCGTCGGAACTCTGTCGCTCTCTCGCTCTCTCTCTCTCTCTCTCTCTCCCTCTCTTTACGTGCATATATATATATATATACACATACATACATATACATATATCCCTCTTCCTATATTTGTATAAGCCCGGGCGGGGGGACCCCCACAACAAAAAAAACGGACTCCCGGGATCTGGGGCTTTGGGACCCTCCCGACGGGCCTCGAAGCGGCCCCCCGGGCCTCGCAGGGCGTTTTGCCAAGCCTTCCCAGCACACCTGGGGCGATCAGGGGGGTCATCGGGGACGTCCCAGAGACCCCCAAGACAGCACAAGAGCGCTCCAAGAGTGACCGACGTGACCTCAAGATGGCCCAAGAGGCCTCCAGGACGGCCCCAAAGGCCTCAAAAAGCCTCAAAGAGCACTCCCAAGAATGCCCCAAGAGGAAGAAATCTAGATTTTCTGCCTGTGTTGTTGCATTTTGGGGTTATCCTCTTTTCGGCTTCCCGACGCTTCAATACGGCAGTCTTCTGGGCGTCCGAAGCCGCCTGGGAGGCTCCAAAATCGCCCCACAACCGTCCGAAAGGGCTTCCAGGCAGTGCAAGAGAGCCCCAAAACGGCACAACAGGGATCAAAGATGGCAATAAGAGAGCCCCATGGCGGCCCAAGACGGCCCCAAGACACCCTCCGAAGCATTCCAAATCGTGACCCCGTCGTTCAGGGAGACCGCGGTTGGAGGCAGGGTGGGCCGAGGAAGCCCCCAGAACCTCCAGAACACGCCCAGGAGGCCTCCAGAAGGCCTTAAGAAAGCCTGAAACTTTTGTGAGGCCCCCAGAGGCTCTCCAAGGAGGAGTCTCCGCAAAAAGAGCTGAGGAGGATGGGAAAAATGCGCAGGGTATGGCGAGAATGAGGAAAAAGAAGCATGGAGGAAGGATAACGAATAATACAATCTAGCGGCGATGCTGGAAACGGCAACAAGAGTTATCGCTAAATTGTCGGCTTGACCTTCCTGCCATTCCGCCTGCACACCAAACTTCGAGGACCAAGGTGCATGGTGCGAAGCGCCACTGCAGTCTTGTGTAGATATGTATACCTATATATACATATTATATGTATATATGTATATATCTATATATGTGTATATATACATATGTATATATATACATAAATATATATGTGTGTGTTGGTTATCTCTCTCTCTCTAGCTCTCTTTGTCTCTCTCTCTCTCTCGCTCTCTCTCTCTCTCTATCTCTCGCTCTCTTTCTCTCTCTCTCTCTCTCTGGGACTGAAGCCGCTAATCGTTCTGGGGCGCCACCAGCGTCAGAAGGACGCGCCGAGCTGGGTGCCGTCGAGCTGCGACGCGCCTGCCGTCGTCGCCGCATCATGAACGTCCTCGGTGCCGCCGCCGGCCAGGTGGGCTGCATGCCGGAGCTGGAGCACTGCGGCTGCCCAGACGATGTCGGCGCAGTGCTCGCTCGTGGCGTGCCCAGTCACCGCATCAGGCCAGGCTGAGCTTGGGGGCCTCGTTGGCCAACTTCCTGTTCGGCGAGCCCCCGCAGATGCTCAGGCCCTCCCCGATTGTCGCCACTCTCTGGCCTGATGGCAGCAGCCAGAGCTTGCGGCGAGCGGCTCGAGAACTTTGCCAGCATCGGTATGCTCGTGTCCGCCACCAGTGGCGGCGGCGGCGAGGCAACAACACTGCATCCATGCAATCGCCGACGCCCGCGCAAGGAGGACGTCGGGGCAAACACACGGGACCGTTCGGGCCCCGAGACCTTGAGCCACAATGGACTACAAAGGAGGTGAATAGGAAAAGGAGGAGGCGGAGGAGGAGGAGGAGAGGAGGAGGAGGAGGAGGAGGACGAGGAGGAGGACGAGGAGGAGTAGGAGGGACAGGAGGGCAGGATGGAGGATGATGAGGATGAGGATGAGGATGAGGATGAGGATGAGGATGAGGATGAGGATGATGAGGATGAGGATGAGGATGAGGATGAGGAAGGAGGAGGAGGAGGAGGAGGAGGAGGAGGAGGAGGAGGAGGAGGAGGAGGAGGGAGGAGGAGAAAGAAAAGGAGGATGACGGAGGAGTCTCTGAGGAGAGGAGGGCAGTGTCGGGGCTTTTCCTCCCACCCCTGCCCCCTCCCGGGGGGACAAAAACTGCACCGATACTGCGACTCCACGGACATCTCCCAAGGCGTTCTCTGACCAGAATTCCGAGGGGAACCCAGCCGTCGCGACGAGCGGTCTCCTCGACAAGCAGCGGGATCGGTACATTCTCCTCCCCTTGACCCTTTGCCCCCTTCCCCGAGGCTGGGGGCGCCCTTCGACGACGTCCGCGCGCGGGTCGTCGGAGCTCCCGGAGGCGGCGGGGGCCTCCTCGCAGCCCCCGGTCTTCAGGATGAAGCTGGCCGCGCACGCGGGGTGGAAGCGGCGGTAGATGGCGGCGCCCGTCCACACGGTGACCTGCGGGGCTACCCAGCTCCCAAGCCCTCCTTCTGAGCCCTCCTCTTGAGCCGTCCTCCTCCTTCTCCTCCTCCTCCTCCTGCTCCTCCTCCTCCTCCGCCTCCTCCTCCTCCTCCTCCTCCTCCTGCCCCCTCCCTCCCTCCCTCCCTCCCTCCCGCCACGGCCCCAGGGGCTCCCGGAAGGGACCGGCACCCGCGAACGGGACCCCTGGGGCGGCCGGAATGGTCGATCCGATCGCTTCCTCGCGCTCGCTGCATTCGGCGAGGGGCCCCGCATGAATTATTAATTAATTACATACTGGGAGGAGAAGGAGGGGACGATGAAGGGGCGGGAGGCGATTGCTGCAGCAAGGGCGGCATGGCAAGGGAGAGGGAAGAGAGCAGAAAGGGGCGGCGGGCGGGGGCGGTAGGGGTGGTCGTGCCGGTGGTCGGTGTGGTGGTCGGACTGCTGGTGGTAGGTCCGTGCTGGTGGTCGGCGAGGCGGTCGTGGCGGCCCTGGCTATAACCAGGCTGGCGGTAGTAGTGCTGGAGGCGGCCGGGCTGCGGTGGTTGAGTTGTTGGCTGTGCTGGGGGCGGCCAAGGTGGTCGTGGCGGTGGCCGCAAGAGCCGTGGTGGTGGCTACGGCAGTTGGTGGAGGTTGTCGTCGCCAATGTTGCCGTGGTGGTCGGTGCGGCCGCTGGCGGTGGCCGCGGTAGCGGTGGTCACTTTCCTGGCGCCTGTCCGAACAGCACCGTGGGCAGCAGTCTTGGTGTCCAGGTAGCTGCCGGCCTAGCGTCCGAGCGCACTCAGCAGCATCTCGGCGCTGCCGGTCTGCAGGCGTGTGCTGATTTGCCTCCACAGCGTTCCGAGGACCACGGCCCGGTCAGCGTCGTCGAACCCGTGGCCGTACGACCCGTGGCCGTACGACCGGATGAACTCGACGGCCGTGTCGGACGGGCGGCCGCCCGACTCGAACACTAAGGGCGCCAAGTTTCCGTGCTGCGGCGGGTAGCGCTCACGCTTCTCGTGGACCGTCTGCGCCGCCGCGACCCCGTTTCTGTTGGATCGAGCGCGCCTGCGAGGGCCGTAGGCGCTGCATTCGCAGGTTACGCTCCAATCCACATACACAGGCTGACCTGTGCTGGGGTCTCGTGTACAAACGTCCAACTTCGCCTCCTCCATGACGCCCGTCTGCGGGTCCATCCTGTCCCAACCAAGAACTCGTTGCCCCTTGACCGCGTAGTAGCCCGTGAGGCGTGTGTGCGTGGGGGCGTACCAGTCCCTCCTCGACCGCGTAGTAGCCCGTGAGGCGTGTGCGCGGGGGCGTGCCAGTCCCTCCCTCCCCTCCTCCCTCCCTCTTTTCCCATCTCCCTTCCTCTCTTTTTCTCCCTCCCCCATCCCCCTCCCAACTCTTCCACCTCCTCCTCCTCCTCCTCCTCCTCCTCCTCCTCCTCCTCCTCGCCCCCGTCCTTCCATCCTTCACTCTCCCTCCGTCCCTTTCTCCCCCCTTCCTCCCCAAAACTCTGGCGTCGTGTTTTGCCGCAGCGTGGTCCCCAGGAGATCTGGGCACCTGCCCCGAGACAGGCTCCTCCCGTCGAGCCTCTCTCCACGACGAGATGAGGTGGATACCCCCCGGGCCTCCTCGTTGAGGTCCCGCAGCGGCTGCCGGCAGGAGTGGCAGCAGTGGCCGACGTCGCTCTTCTGCAGGTGGCGCTGCTTCACAGCCCAGCCGGCGTCGCGGCGTGACGCGACGGCCTCTCAGCCCGGGGGTCCACTCGGAGAGGCGCCCCCCGCTGCCCTCTTCCCCAAGGAGCGGGGCAGCAGCAGTAGGAGCGCGAGGGGGAGGGGAGGGGGGAGAGAAGGGGGAGGATGGGCGAAGGAGGACCGGCGAGGGAGGAGAGAGGGAAGGATCGAGAGAGAGGGGAGAGGGGAGAGGGGAGAGGGGAGAGGGGAGAGGGGAGAGGGGAGATGGGATGTTGTTGATGATGATGACGACGATGATGATGATGATGATGGTGGGGGTGATGGTGATGATGATGATGATGATGATGACGATGATGATGATGATGATGATGATGATGATGATGATGATGATGATGATGATGATGAGTATGGCGCTGATGGTGCTGATGAGGGTGGTGATTATGGTGGTGATGCTGATGCTGGTGTTGCTGAATGATGATGACGCTGCTGATGGCAATGAGGATGATGATGATGATGATGATGATGATGGTGATGATGATGGTGATGGTGATGGTGATGGTGGTGATGCTGATGCTGATGCTGATGGTGATGATGATGATGAGTGTGATGGTGCTGATGATGAGGATGAGGATGAGGATGCTGACGCATACGAAGGTTATGATACTGATGGTGATG